ACGGTAGAGTAAAGTCACCGAACACTTCATAGTCGTCTTCTTTAGTGCAATGCACACGGTTTTGAACAGCTGTGCCTCTAGCCGCTTCAAGGTGAGCCGGTGGTCACATCCGTTTAATGAAACTGTGGTCACTAAAAAAATGGAACACTCTGGTCCACATTGTCCTTAGAACGGCCTCCTGCAATTTCCTGCCCCTCCACATCCTTGCCCATGTTGCTTGTCATATTGCATGACTCGTGGCATAGTGAGGCACAACCTTTGGGTGTACACCCAGAAATATTTCCATAACTGTGAAGTGCTTCACCTTTTCCAGGGCACCCTCCCAGTTTTCTTCTTGGGCATTTCACTTAATCCTTACTTGCTCTGGTGTCCCCCCCACACTTCTCTGCTACCTCCTGCCAAAAACGTTTATTTTTCTGTGGCAGCATTTTGCCAAAACTTTCATAGTTGTCCCCCATTGTTGCTACCAGAATGAAATACCTCTCGTCAGTCCACTTCTCTCCTTCCACCCATGTGCAGAAAGGAGAATGAGCATCCAGCTCTTCAAGGTGCTGCAATGATACTCCACATGTCTGATTTTTGTGGGGAGACACAACAATGGTCTCCCTGCTTACATTATAACAGAAGGACTTCTGCCTCCTCACGGCTAGCAAATATCTACGTGAATGACGGGATTCAGTACAAAGTCTTACAAGTATGGAAAGGCGTGGCTGAACTGGATACCTGGAGGAAGTAACGCGATGTCGTGTGTTCGTGAATCAACTGCTCAATATTCGGCGCCAACAAGTAAATGTGCATGCAAACATTTCTGAGCGCGAGGTTTTGCGCTTACCAATATTTGTGGGTGGACATTTGTGTACGGGTATTTCAATACATCAAATTGTGTAAGCTGATTCGGGGAGGTGCACAATGTAGCACGTCAGAAAAGTCAAACTCTTCACCAAACTTCAAAAAGAGTCTTCTGGCAGTGCTATATTATGATAACGACACCCCGGTTGCGATATGGGCGGCACCTGGGCTCTGAGCGTGCGCTCGGGTCCGAGGCTCTGGCTTACCTAACACAGGACCACGCAGGGCCTTTTTTATATCACTGTCTGGGCGCACTCTGCCCTTGGCGTGACGCACACAGTCTGGATGCTCACGAGGCCGAGTCGACGCGCTGCATGATCAGCGCGTGATCCTGCGTACAGTACAGTTCCGCAGCGCTTGATCACAATTTGTAGGGTCGGTTCTTGCGGCGCGTGAGCGGCGCGTGGTGCAGGGGGTGAAGGTCACGTGGGGCGTTGTTTCGCGGCTTTGCCCACCGATAATCATTGCGTGGCGTCGCGTTTGTTAATGTAAGTCTAGACAATCGAGGTCAATCTGGCTCCGTTTGCGGCATAATGTATACACACGCAGCGACAGGCGTGTCGCGACATCGGGCCGCGTGCCGTCGGCGGACCGCGCGTGATGGCGAGACGCGGGCACAGGCGAGCGAGGGGTTAAAAATCTGGAATAGCGCGGGATAAAACCAGACGGATGCTACAACAAGGCCCCTCCCCTCCCCCGAAATATTGCGATGTTCCTGTCCGGTCACGAACGAAAATCAAGTCGCATTTTACGCACTGCAATATCCGAAAAATATCCTTACCTGTTTGGGGCCGTAGTCGTAGAGGTGGGTCGCCCTGTCCACCCCTTTCACCAAGGCACACCTAGCACATCTCCATTCACTGCAGCGAGTGAACTGCGAATGGACAAGCGCATGCTGTCTAATGAGTCGCTGCACGCAGGGGGGGGGGGGGGGGTTCGGAACTTAGTCGGGACTAGACCCGGCAATCCCATGGTGACGTCACCATCGGGACGCCCCAGGGCATTCACGTGTTGAAGGGCATCGCATTGTGTGTTTTTGAATACTCGTTTTCGAATACTTCTAAGCCGTTCCCTCTCATGAAATAAGTATCAGGACATTTGCCAGTATGTCTCCTAGCAATATCCGGAGTTAAACAGCTGTGGCTGCCCAAATATTCCAACACCAGCCCGTATTCCCATACCTTGTTTTAATCCAATAAGGGCGATTTTTGCGACTATTAGAGATGATTATCACCCTTACTACCACGTAACGTTTCTAACTGCGGTGCAGTTACGGGTAACTTCAAACCGGTGATACGTATAAACGAGCGATCAGCTCAATGGAAGGGAAACATTTGAGCGTGCAACCACTGAGAAGGCGACGACGGCTGCATTCAATGTATTTAACGGTTACATCGTGTCTCGGAGCTAGCGGGAGTCGGAGCTGACACTCGATGGTCGTGGGCATTGTTGAGGGCTTCCAGGGATGTGCTGTTGTATGCCGCGTTCCTGCGAGCTTCTCGTAGGCACCTGTGGCCCTCCTGTTCGGCGACCTTTACGCCGTGGATGGAGGTGGTCATCAGTTCGCAGCCACGCTTATGACAATAACGGCCGGAGAAGCAGTTGAAGGCGGCGTTGTTCTGATGACAGTCACAGTATTGGTTTTGGAGCGCGCGACGCCTCTGCGTGGAATGTCGTTTGTGGTGCTCCCAGAGCCTATGCTGGGCGTCGAAGAATTCCTGCTTAAAGCAGTCCAAGTAGTGGTTTTGGAGCGCACAGCGTCTCGGCATGAAATATGCATTGTGGTACTCACACACTCACACTCACATTCACTCTCACACTCACACAGTCTGTGCTGGACGTCGGGGACCTCCTGCTTAAAGCTGGTCGCCTCGCTCAGCACGCTCCACCAGGCAGGGGCCAGGAGCTCCAGCACGCAGCGAACGTTTTCGACCCGATGACGCAACGTTTGCCTTGCATTGCAACGATTTCCGCGCTGATGAACAGGTCGATGAATGCGTGAAGTTTTCACATCTCGCGATGAAAATTGTTGCTCGATGTTTTGCTCCTGGTTTTCGCTGCATATGCTCTTGCTGTTCGTCGTTTGCTTCCGAAATTACAACCTCCTCGTTACCCTCGCTATCTGACGTCATGGGAATGACGTTTCGTCCTGCCTGTTGTTGCTGAGGTTGCGCCCAGCATTTGACGTCATGCACTTCCTCGATGACGTGCTGAACCTGGGCGCAGGCGTGGGACGTGGCGATGGCTTTCCTTGTTTCTTTCTTGCAACCGTGTTTTTCGGGGAATAGAGGGACAGCGGATGCTGTGTTGTGTGTTCCGAGCTCGAACACTCGCGTGCTCCGGAGATGGCTGGGTGTGCTTCCAACACCGCCGCGATGTTAAAGGGTTGGATATTGCCGGCAGGGCTTATGCTAGCTACGCGACTTGTTGGATCGCGGACCGTTTCTGTTTCGCTTACCTCGTGTGTTAACGGTTCCGTTTGCCGCACTGCTGTGGGATGCCGTTGCGTTATCGTTTGTGTTTGCCTTGATTTTTTGCTGTTTCTTGCCCGTTTTCGAAATACTGTTCGTGCGTGTTAAAATATCTTGAGTCGTCCTCCTCTGGTACGAGAACTGCGAAATGGTTTTCTGCGACATTTGACGTCACGACCGTTTTCGACATTGTTTTTGGACTCGTCACGAACCGATTGACTGTTGCACATTGGCACAGATTCCTCCCGGCTTTCCACGGAATTTCAACTTTCGTCCTTTTTGTTGCGGTGTTTGCTTGCTGGGTAAAGGTGCTCTCGGCACTTAAGCGGTACTTGCCTTACATTGTCGTGGTGTTGTCATCGACTTCTCCTTTCTCGGGGATGCCATGTTGGCAGCCATATTTGCGTCATGTGCCGCGCCCCGTACCCAGAAGCGGCGGCCTCTATTCGACGGTCAGGCGCGTGACACTGGACGCCCGTGATCAACATGTTTTCAAGTACAACAATTACAACTCCTCACGCTTGCTTAGATTGTGGCAAGCGCATAAGTGCTTGCGTGTTTCCTCCTGTTCTCCAGATAGGAAGAATGGTAAGAGCAGAGTTGTTTTCAAAATATTCCCTTGATCAGTGGCGAAACTGTCTTTCAATATCTTCCAGCAGGCGCAGGTGCCAAAAACCAAATAATTTTGCTCCCTTCCGGTGATCCAGTGACCTGTATGCCTCGCACGGATCGGAACCTGCACTTCAATGGCCGCACCTTGGTTTGAGATGAGCAGCCGGTCCAGCGTTGAAGATCCGCTTGGTCTTGATCCGGGTTGCGGCACCAATGTAACGCTTCACCTTCTAGATCAGCGTTCTTCAGTTCATTGTCCATTAAAACATACGTAAGAGGGTCGTCTATATTCGGCCACGAGATAGTCCGACTGGCTCGTGTTGTGTAAGCTATGCAGAGTCGCAGCCCTGGTGGTGGTTGGACCTCGTCTGACGCTACGCAACATGCGCCAGTCTAGATACACCGCGGGGCCGCGGGGCGTTGGCGGGCGACCTCCAATCTCGGGGGAGGGGGCGCCCCAGAACGTTCTACTGCGCGCAACTCTAGTGCATACTTGCTTACGTAACGAGGCTGCAGAAACGCGTTATGAACTCCATTAGTTAGGTTATCTGATAAAGTGAACAACTCGTAGACCAACTACGAAGCGACAACAAGGTATGAATCATGCACCCCAACAGCGGGCACAGACAAACAGATGATTGGCGTGACCTCAACAGCACAGTATTACAGTGTGCACGGACGCTCCAAGCGGCAAAAACAATACGTACAAGAAAAGGTGGCGCCGGCGGAATGTGTACGTATGTCTACCCACATGTGTGCGACAGCAACTTGTCGCTTAGCGGGAGGAAATCAGCGTACCGTTCGAAGTATTCGCGGAATTAGAAATATGTGCGGGGCTGGACTCGCTGTCATTGTCCCCTGGAATGTTTGAAACTCGCTGTCATTGTCCCCTGGAATGGAATGAAAGTTTACTGGAATGACCGCCCCATGTTGCGACGCTACCCGAGCATCCTCCGAGCGCAGACCGGCGGCCGCCTCCGGCCGCGGGCCGCCCGCCGCCGCTGACCGCGCGCGTCCGCGCGCCCCCCGCCGCTGCCGCTGACCGGGCGCGCTTTCCGTGCCCGGCAGGAGACCGACTGTACTGGACGCGACCGATGGTGATGGCGATGCTGGCCGGCCTGCGACCCCACATGTGGGCGCTGACAGACCGCGGTGGCCTGCCGCGCGGCGCGCTCTGCCCGCAGCGGCGCCAGGCCTTCTACGCCGCCAACGACTCGCTCGCTGCCGCCGGCTACCACGTCGCGCCGAAGGACGTGCTGCAGAAGTGGTGCGTACGCGGCCGGGCAGGCGGGAGGCCTTGTGTGACCGGTGTGGCCGGGGAGGACGGCGTGCGAAGCTGACAGACGGGTTTGGGAGTGGTGGCAGGCAGTAAAGCGCCACCCAGGCGCCTTGGACTTCACAGATAAGCACAGAATGAGGCTGTTTGTAAGCAGACGGGTGTGTCAGTATTTTCACTATTTGTGGTGTTCAGCCGACTCGTGGTCTTGACACCAAAAGTCCGCGGATGTTGTTAACGGTTGGACGGCAGACACTGGACCACAACGCCGTGTTCGTTTTCGTCGGCAGGCAGAACATGTTTGCCACGTACAAACGGATAATGGCGCGGGAGGCCGAATCGGGGGTGTTCAACACCCACTGGGAGTTCTACGACGTGAGTGCAGCTGATTGGTCTGTCGGCTTCCGCACGTCTTCCTGACAGGCGTGGATGTTCATGCCCGCAAACCTTGTAAGAGTAAGGATCGGGGGACTGTGAGAGGTGTGCGATCGTTGACGCACACTTCGCGCCTTTCACAAGTGTATTCGCGCGGCGAAATATATTTTACGGAATTGCTTACTCAGCGCAGTTGCATTGCCCGAAGCTGTCCGAAGCCGCACGGTTGCTTTGTGTTTGTTCATATTGCTGTCAAGTCGCGCGTAAGATGTAAATCACCTGGTGGTGATAGTGACGTTGCGGACCGCGTGCGACGGCATCGGAGCTGTGCAGGCAGCGATGCAACAGCACCCCCGCGGCGCAGCTCCGTGTTCGGGTGCCGGCCGACCGCGACCGGTCGGCCGAGACGCCGTGGGAGGCTCGCCCGCACGGCCAGCGCGTGTCGCGCTCGCACTCACCGGCTCCGCCGCCCCGCCAGGACATGAAGGAGCTGATGGCGGAGCGTAGCCCGCGGAGGCCGGAGAGCGGCGAGGACGCGGAGCCGGACCTGGCGGCGGCGGCCCCGCCGGCCCCGACGCCCGCGCCCGCGCCCAGCGCCATCCAGGGCGTGCTCGTGATCCCGGCGGCGGCGCTGCCCGTCGCCAGCGGCTCGCCACTCAAGCCGGCCAAGCGGCCGCGCGTCGAGCCCGCCGCACGATGCCCGGCGGTGGCGGCGGCGGCGGCGGCCGGCCCGGAGCCGCGTGCAGGTAAGGGCGGGACGAGGCGCGTGCGAACGGCGGGTTGGCTCACGGATCGCCCGCCCGCTGGGAATGCCCTTTGTTGCCAGCCCGGCGCTCAGTGCATTGGTGCCTGCTTCGTTTCGCGTTTTTTTTTTTTTTTTTGTCAGTCGGCTGTTGCGGTCGCGTTGTTGCGTCTTGCTGGCCGTGTCGCCACGTCTTGTGTTGGCCGTGTTGTTGCGTACCGTTGGCCGTGTTGTTGCGTCTGGTCTGCCTTATTGAAATGTCCTGTGAGCCGTGTTTGTTATGTCTTGCTGGCCGTATTGTAACGTCTTGTTGGGCGTGTTGTTGCGTCTTGTTGGCCCCGTCGCCACATCTTGTGTTGGCCGTGTTGCCACGTCTTGTGTTGGCCTTGTTGTTACATCTTGTCGGCCGTATTGTAACGTTTTGTTACCTCCGTTGTTACGTCTTGTTGGCTGTATTACCACGTCTTCTGTTGGCCGTGTTGTCACGTCGTCCGCGGCGAGGGCTCACGACGCGACACGGCACTGTGCTGTGTGTGTGCCATTACGTCGATGTTGGTGCGATGGTCCGCACAGAGTTTGTCCGTCGCCGTGCCGTGCCAACTGATTCCGCACGCCACATGGGATGTTAACGCCGGTGTTCGCCCCCAGCGGTGGCCGCCGCGCCGGCGGAGGAGTCGGCGGCGCCGCCGCCCTGGTTCCAGCAGTATCTGGAGCAGGAGCGGCGGGACCGCGAGCGTACTGCGACCGAGCGGCGCCGCGCCTGGGAGGAGGAGAAGCTGCGCAGGCTGGAGGCCATGCACCGCGAGAAGGTGGCGCTGCTGCGGCAGCTGATCCAGGCTGTCAAACGGCGCGAGGACCGGTGATGGCACGGGCGCAGTTGATGGCGCTGGGACAGCTGCTGGCGCTTGCACAGCTGCTGGCGCTGGCACAGCTGCTGGCGCTGGCACAGCTGCTGGCACTGACACAGCTGATGGTGCCGGCACGGCTGATGGCGCTGGCACAGCTGATAACTGTCTCAAGGGAGCTGATCCAGCTCGTGGGACGGTGGGGGTTGGAGGCTGCCACTGGGCGGTCGTCCCGGGTCGCCGGACTCCATCGCCCGACGACTGCAGCCAGCCGTCAATGATAGATGGCCGGCCTCCCCACCCGCCGCCCGGTAGATGGCGCTGTAGAGGCGCGGCGCGAGATGGCGCTGCCCGCGCCCGGCGGTCGCGGCGGTGCTCACTGTGTTCTGTGCTGTAACCATGTGTCAGTGTCATCTGTGACGCGTACAAAGGGGATGTGGGAGCACGACATTGTTGGTATGCCGGTGGATGTGAAATGCCGACAGACTTGACGTCTTTGCGTCTGCTATTAGTGTCGTTTGGTTCACTGCTTCGGTCATCACTCATGATGGATACAGTACCTGAGTTGTCTGCCACTGAGAGCGAGTGCACCGGTTAGGACACTGTTAGGCTGACATTTGTGGGGGGGGGGGGCTCTTTTCTGTGGATTCAATGAACATGTAGTGGCGGTGTACATGTATGATTTAATTTTTCCGTCACCCTTGTCCTTGTTTGCGAGTACCACGAATCTCCAAATGGCGAAGTATGCATAAGTGACCTTGAGTGTGTTTGTCATCCGCCACATTTGTACTTTTGCTCGAATCGAAGTTGAATATATCGCCAGTGCTACCAATGCAATGTGTTTTGTCGTCCCGGGTGTTATAGTTCACCTCCGGCTACAATTAACCCTCGGCTGCGATAGTTCACTCTCCGGCTCTGATAGTTCACTCTCGGGCTGCGACAGTTCACCCTCCGGCTGCCATAGTTCCCCCCTCCCGGCTGCGATAGTTGACCCTCCGGCTGCGGTAGTTCACCCTCCGGCTGCGGTAGTTCCCCCTCCGGCTGCGGTAGTTCCCCCTCCGGCTGCGGTAGTTTACTCTCCGGCCGCGACAGTTTCACTCTCCGGCTGCCATGGTTTTCCCTCCCCGCTTTCCCCGGCTGTGATAGTTTCCCCTCCGGCCGTGATAGTTGACCCTCCGGCTGCGGTAGTTGACCCTCCGGCTGCGGTAGTTCCCACTCCGGCTGCGGTAGTTTACTCTCCGGCTGCGGCAGTTCACCCTCCGGCTACCATAGTTCCCCTTCCCCCCCCCCCCCCCTCTCTCCCGGCTGTGATAGTTTCCCCTCCGGCTGTGATAGTTGACCCTCCGGCTGCGGTAGGTCACCCTCGGCTGCGGTAGTTCACCCTCCGGCTGTCATAGTTGCCCCCTCCCGGCTGCAATATTTTCCCCTCCGGCTGCGGTAGTTCACTCTCCGGCTGCAGTAGTTTAACCTTCAGCTGGGGCCGTCGAGATCGGAACTCAGCGTCGGTATTTTCTCTCAACGGAACTTCGACCTTTGCGACTGAGTGGCGGGCGTAAATGATTTCCATAGTCGCTGACGTAACATGGCACGTGCGGTCGGCGTGTTCGTAAGCTCCGGCCGACAAATAGGCTACAGCAGCAGGGAGCGGTTTGGCCGGTACCTGAGGCACCTGCCAAAGTCCTACGCGTCCGTGGTGGTCCCAAACCACGCGAAACGCCACACACCACGCGACTGAAATCATAGCTTTTATTCTAGCAGGTCTGAAGGTTAACGACAGGCTCGAGTGCAGTTCCACCTCACAGCGTGCTGCCGCCGTCCCGGGTCCGGCGGGGTCGAGGCTGAGCGGATTCACAGGGATGGATGGCGTGGGATTCACGAAGGACGGCGGTGTCGCACACTGCCGCCGTTCGCTAAGGCAGCAAAGTTCAGCGCAGGAGACGCCCGATACCGTACTCTGGAGCCTCCGACACGTTCAAAAGAGGCGGCCGCTTGATGAAAACCGGTTTGAAAGGTGTCTTGGCAGACACCGGCGGGTGGCGCGCGAGCGTGCTGTTGATCCGCTCCGAGACCAGCGCTCCGAGAGCTGGTCAGCGCTGCCGAGACCAGCGCCCCGTCCGGATGGGGACCCGCCGGGGGCCGCGGGGGTCGCCGTAGGGTGGGGCGGAGCGCTGGCCACAGGCAGGGTCCCCGTGCCCCGAGGCGAGCGGGCACGGCGGCGTGCGGCGCGCGACAGTTAACGACAGGTACAATTGCGACACGGCAAACGCAGCTAACGCGTCCGTTAACGACACAGGCGGGCGCACAGCACAGGCGTCCCCCGGAGCCTCTGCCGTCGCAATGGCCCCGCCCGATGTAACCGTGGCATCTGGCGGCCAAAAAGTCAGACTCAAGCCGAAAAGCCGGTCTTTTCAAGGGTTAGTTTCCACGCCAGAGACGTTGCACATGAAGCACGGGTATGGGAAAAATAAGAGCTCCACACTGGTACAGAAGTCTGAACCAGATCCCGTGACGTAAGGGACATCTGGAGCAGAAGCAGCACACAGAAAACGGCTGGCTTTGCCCAACAACCTTGGCATATCCGGCCCTATCACAACAATCGGCCAGAAAGCCTTGGGTCTACGTGCTAGCGGATACGCTGACCGCTGCAGATTGCAGAGCCCAAAACCCTATCCGGGCCATCGGCACGCTCAAACGTTCTCCTCATTGTTCTTGCGCGCTCAGAGATCCCGAAAATCAAGCTAGCAGCATGCTTGCAGCGGCTGCCCCGCGCACTCAGCCTCCTCCGGCAGCAGCCCGGAAGCCAGCGTGCTTGCGCCGGCTTCCAGGCGCGACGCTAGCGCCGCCGGCCGCGGCGGTCGACGACCGAAGCTCTGTCGGCGGGTGCCGGCGTCGGCTGGCTGCGCGCCGGTCGCTCCGCCCGGCTTTAAGCCAGACGGGCGGCGAAAACGCCCAGCAGGAGCAGAGAGAGCCCAGCCGCCGCTGAAACACGACGGGCCGTTAGAAGTGCGAGCCTCAGCCACCATGACCAGTCTAAAATCACACATCCGAAAGCAGGTCGTGCACGATACTGAAGCTGCTCGTTGCTGGCTGTTTGCTGGCATCATAGATTTTTCGCTTTTCGACGTCATTGTCGTCGAGATACAGTGAATACATCATTGCGATGTACCTACGAACTACGACACGCAGCATATAAGACTGCGATGGCCCAGCCCAGCCCAGCCCATAGCCCAGCCCAGCCCATAGCCTGTCCAAGGACGACTGCCGTCAGCGCCGGACCTGCCGCCTACCTGAGCGAGCGCTCCTGGACTTCAAGTTTTCCTCGAAAACCATGAGCAGTGCCTCCTTCGCGTCATCCGGCAGCTTCTCCATCTGTTCGTCACTTATCGCGAGCGCCGCCTCCGTGGACAGCTCAAGCACCTGAGCCTTCGTCAGCCCCTGCGGACGTGACGTCACCCCGTCAGCAGCTGTGACGTTGGGTGACGTCACAGCGTAAGCGACTGGTGATCGCAGTGCCCTCCGGCGCTGAAACCAGGTGAACGTCACCATCATCGTTCAACACATTTTCGTCACGAGTGTGTTGGAGGGGGCCGTTCGGCCCACGGCTAGACGAAGGGGAGGGGGGAGGGAAGGAGGGACGGACGAACGCGTAATCACGAGTGAAATTCTGCGCACGGCTGCGTGAAAGACATGCCAGGACATGTCCGGAGGGGGGGGGGGGGGACCTCCGCAGCCGCGTGAGGGAGCAGACGTGAGGTCGTACCGCGATCTTGCTGGGCGGGATGCTCATCATGCCATCGGCGCTCAGTCCTCGCATCGACTCGTCCTTGATGCTTTTCAGCTTCATCGCCTCCAGCCCGCCAATCACCGCTCCCACGCCAGCCACCTGGCCAATGAGAATCGCTTACCAAGGTCACCTTGCTTTACATATGCTGCTCGCAATGCGCAACGCCTTTCCTTGCTACGAGCCGATGACGTTCACGTCACAAGAAAAGACAATTACGATCATAGACGGCGCGTGTCAGAAAATCATCGGCGGCGGGCAGAGCTGGCTCGCTGGCGCCATAGCCGCGTTCAGAACCCAGGTCCCCGCGCTGCGCCCCAGCCTAGATCCCCCCCCCCCCCCCGCTCTTCCACTTCACCCCGTCCCTAGACGCGGCCTGAGGCCACAGCCCCACCTCACTCATCCCCCAGGTGGATGGTTCGCCGTAGATGGCGACGGCTTTATCGGCCAACTTCTCGGCGACGGCTTGTTTGCACCAGTAGACCTCGGAGAGCACCGTCATGGCCTCCCTGCCGCGCAGAATCGGTGTCGCGTCACAGGTCACAGCGGGGACAGAGTGCGTGAGCTGCGGCCCGGTGCCGCGAGGGCAAGGCCGGTCACCTTGACAGTCCCAGGGCAACATCGCCTGCTAGCCGCGGCTTAGCTACAGGGAGCACTGCAGTGCGAGAGGCGAAAATCGGCCATCTTTGTGTCGAAGGAGAACACCACCTGCATGACGCGAAATGAAACAAAGATGATCTCAGCAGCCGCTTAGCACATCTGCGCACCGTGCCAAGTATTTACATAGCGCATGCTATAGCATATAAGTAGCTTATTTATCCATATTTTAGACCGGGCCGTGCTGCACGGCGTCTCACTTGAAGCGCGCCGCCGGAATGCTCGCCACGTCGGCCGGGGCCATGCCGCAGATGATCTGGCCCAGAGTGCCTACGGTGTCCGCCGTGTAGTCGGCCGCGCTGCCAGACAGCACACTCCACTGGGCCTTCGCCCGGGTCGCCAGTGCATCCAGCTGCCAGCGAGCGGGGCGGGTGAGGCGAGTGGCGCCACGCAGCGGAAGGGTGCGCCGTGCTCGGCGTCGCGGCCGTGGAGGATAACCAGGGAGCTCGTGGAAGTCATCCGCCACGACACGCATCCCGCACGGCTAAGATTCGTTGGCTCCAACATGACGATTGTATGGGCAAACGTGGTGTTGTTCATTTCCAGCGGCAAGTAGAAAGGCTTGTGCACGGACAGCAAATATTACGCAGGGAATATGCCGCATCCCGAGTAGATGTCGCCTCCCCCCCCCCCCCCCCCACCCCCACCAAGCTGAGAGACACGTAAAAAATCAGGACACAAGCTTACCTGCGCTTCCGTCATCTTCATAGGCATTCCCAACTCAAAAACGGCATCTTCGGTGGTGAGGTCGAGCATCGCGATGTCGGCGCTGGGGATGACGGAGCCCACGTACCCGATCATGCTCATCGGTACTTTGTCGGCCCCGCTGTACGCCTGCAATGTCGCCAGCATGCGTTTCCACGCCAGCCACGCCCACAAGCCACGCCCGCCACCGCCGTACGTGCGTCCAGCGATCTGAGCGGCGCTCGTCCTTTCACGAATGTGTGCTCTGCATTGTTGGCGTCACAGCGGCAACGACCGGGCAAGCTAGCACGCAGACGGCACCGGCTCACCGAGTAGCCCGCGGCTTACCGGCTCACAGCTCACAGCTCACAGCCCGCGGCTTACCGGCTCACAGCTCACCGGCTCACAGCTCGCAGCTCACAGGCTCACAACCCACAGCTCACAGCCCATAGCCCATAGCTCACAGCTTACAGATGACGGCTCACAGCTCACGTCTTAAAGCTCACAGTCCACGGCTTACATAGCTCACAATTCAAAGCTCATAGCTCACGGATCACAGCTCACAGATGACGGCTCACAGATCATGCCTCAAAGCTCACAGCTCACGCCTCTCCCGCTCACAACTCACCGGCTCACGGCTCACTGGCTCACCAGCTCACAGCCCACAGCGCACAGGCTCAAGAACAGCACATTGCGGGACTCATGCGCATCCGAACACGACCGAACGGCAGCAGGCTGCACCACTCGTGGTTTAAGCGATTAATTGGGTCGGCAAAAACCTAGCAAACACCGTCATTCGTTTCAGCTCACCCGCCCACTCAGGGCAGACCGCGCGAGCCATACCTCTTTGAGCTCATCCCACACCACCTTCAGCTTGTCCTCGTCGGCCATGACCGAGCCCAGCTGGGCCTGGCACTCCTTGACCTCTTCGGCCGCCATGTCCGACAGCTGTGAGACAGACCACGGTTCGGCGCCGCTGCCCTTCTCCATCACGGCTGCGCAGGTCAGCGGCGGCTCGGCCGCTCGTCGTCGCCTGCGGGCATCAGGGCCGGCCGATTGCTGGACGGCTGGGCGAAGACGTGTGAAGGTCAAGGTCATGTGCTGACTCGACAGGTGGTGCCGCAGGCGTGTCAAAGTTATCGCCCCCGGAGGCCGCAACGGTCGTCATGGCGTGAGAGGTTCGCACCAGTTCATGCGTCGGCCCTCTCAGAATTCTGACCGATTGGCTGGTTCCACCTGGCTTAGTCTGGCTGCCCTTGACTTACCCTAACTGGCTGAACTTGCTTTGACTGACTGACTAATTCTTCATAGCACTAACTTATCATTGGTCACCGTGTCAAGTAGCAGCGTGCTAACCACGAGGCCTCAAAACACATGGGATGGCTTTACAACTGATGCTCCCTAGAAGGCCAACAGCAGCTGCAGCAGTAAGTCAGTCATGATCTTGGGGATTCTTGTCGCCCAGCGACGGATCTATTGGGATGCAGAGCAGGGTTGCCACCCCCTTACGAACACCCTGTGCACCCCCTACCGACTGGCTCCGTGTGCTTCGGACCGGCTCGGACTGGCCCAGGCCCGCCTGACTTTGACTCGGGGTGACCTGGCCACCGCCTTGCCCTCACAGAACGCCACTGACTCGGAGTCGGATTGCCGCCGCCTGACCGACCTGGCTGCTGTTGAGGCGCTGGCGCTGGCACTGGCACTGGCGCTGGCACTGCCACTGCCACTGCCACTGCCACTGGCACTGGCGCTGGAGCTGGCACTGACGTCCGCGTTGAGCGAGTCCTCCATCTCCTTCTGTGCCATCATCACGCCGCGGGCCCGGCGGCGACCCACGTTCGCCAGCCGCTCGTTCAGCTGATCGAAGTCACTGGCCCCGATCTGCCGCTTGCAGTTCAGCTACGGCAGCGGGGGAGAGGAGATCGTCAGCGGCCTGGTGGACGCACGCTCACCAGGAGGGAAGCAGCAATATGTTCCCAGCGCCTTCAGATTCGACGAGTGTTCATCATAAGAGTGGCTTGAGTCGCTGCGAGGTCCCAGGCCTGGACGACTCCGCGGTGGCAGATCGCCCCCCCCCCCCCCCCCGACCGGTCCAGAATTTCCAGTGGTAATCCGGTGGTGCGGCCAGGGAGAGTTTTTAGCATCATCTCCCTCCCTTGGAAGACGTGGCAGCGCTAGAGCCTGAGGATCACAGGACCTTTTTTGCAGTTGAAGGTAGAGCTTCTTGAACACAAAATATATCTCCCAGGCACCAACGTAGAATTCTGGGCGTAAAAATTCATCCGAAGTCTAAAACAGAACCCCTTGCCTACAAGGGGCCTGGCTACACCACTGGTGGAATCTCTACATCTGTTGCGGACTCCAAAACTACGGGGATCTCTGACTCGAGCACACTCCAGCCGCCGTGAGTCACTGACCTGGACCATTTGGACGTAGCGGACCATGCTGTCGGCCAGGCTGTCGTCCTCACTGGAGCCGGCGCCGCACTCGGCGACGATGCGCGTCTCCGGTATCTCTCGTAGCTTGGCGTCGTCCAGCAGACCCAGCACATCGCAGAATGGCTGCAGACTGAACCACCCGGCCGGCTCTCTGCGAGGCAGAGGTCGCAGGGGTCACGGGTCACGGGTCACGGCGGGCGCGGTGCACGCGGATCCAGCCGGCCGGCGGACTGTGACGGAGGAGCCCTACAGAGTGCAAAGTCGCGGCAACCTGGCTGCGAACAGTCCAGGCCAAAGTGCTGGCCATCCCACAGGAGGAGGAGTTCTATAGGGTACAGAGTAGCGGCAACCTGGTTGCGTCCAGTCCAGGCCGCAGTGTTGGTCGTTCCTTAGGGGTACAGTCGACGGGGATTAGTTGGCTGGCTTCCTGAGACGCATGACTTTTGACACGCACCCGGGAGGCCGGCTAGACACCCTTCGCTCGGGTGCGGGTCAGTTTGACCCCATTGAGATCTCGGGAACTAAGAGAGCTAGAAATACCAAATTTGCAGGGTGTCTTGACATGCATGTGAACTCACTTTAGTCAAAGTTTGAGCTTCTTAGGTCATGGTCTTCAGGCCAAATAAGGTCAAACAAGGTCAAATTCCAGGTTGGTTTCTAAGGTGCCTCCAGAACCTAGGCAACTGTTTCTAAGAACAAGTCCACAAGCCCATTTGAGGTCAGTGACCTTGTTTGACTTTCGAAGGTCATGGTGACTAAACCATGCAAGACTGCCCTGAGTTTTGCATTTGAATAAGCGACAAGGATTACGCTAGGCAGTATGTTCCTAAAACAAAATGTCGACCTGGGTCGTCTTAGGTCAATGACCTGTTCTGACGTCTAAAAGTCAATGGAAAATGCATAACACGGTTCCTGCTGTCAATAAATTCGAAATGAGCACCACAAACTATCCCATACAGCAAGCCCTGGAATAATAAATCAGGTTGGTTTTGACCTTGGTCTGACTTTCATACCTGGACTTAGGTCAGCGTAATTTGCTCATTCAACATCCTTGACCTGCCATAGGTCACCAACCTTACAAGGTACATATTCTTATGTCAAAAGATCAGCTATTCAATTGTCTACAGCTATGCAAATTTGGCGCGGCTACGCCATGCCGTTCGGAAACCATTCTGGAGAAACCTTTCGGGGGGGGGGGGTCAATTTGACCCCCTCCACCCGAGCGCGTTTTAAGGGACTGATTGGGTCAGTCCGGAATGAATCGGCCCGCCATCCTGTTCCCACGCAGGGGCAAACAAAATACGGCAGAGGCTATTGTCCAGACTGAGGCACGCCCTCGTTTTGCTGTGACGCAGAACGCACGGGCGACCAACGTCGCAGTCCGCACTAAACCAGCCGGCCGGTTCCCGGGGACGCGGAGGTCAAAGGGGTCATAGAGGTCAGACTGAGCCCATCGGCACGATCCCTATCACACAGAGGTGGCGGGGGTCGCAGAGGTCGGAGTGGTTGTAGAGGTCAGACTGAGCCGGTCGGCAGGATTCTTATCACACATAGGTGACACACTGGTCACAGTTAGGTCAAGCTAGGGTAGCTTAGATTAGGGTAGCTAAGTTAGGTCATAGGTCACACCGGTTAGGTGATGCATCAGGCACTGTACTGCGCATGCAACGTGCAGGTCACTGAAGTGATGTAAATATCATAAGCTGGGTCCACGTGACCCTCAGAAGTGACAGGGCAAAGGCAAGGCAAGGCAGAACAAAGCAAAATCAGGACAATGCAAAGTACAATAGGCAGGCAAAGAAGACCAGCAAAATTAGGGATCGGATACACCATAAGTGCCATGTAAGTTCGAGATATGATTGAAATGCAAGATGTTCTCTCTCGGCACATAGGTCCGGTGGCTACTCATCACGAGTCATGGGTCACAGAAGTTAGGGCTGAACAGTTCAGACGCCAGAGATGATTGTCACGATATCGATAGCTCAAAGAGCACACAGCTGCAGATGCCAGAGGTCAAGGGGTCAAAGACGCACTCGAAGCGCATGCAAATCACAGGCTGTGTTGGAGTCATCTAAAGCATGACCGACCGGGTTAAACAAGGTAGTGGGTAGAAAACCATCCATCTCTCTCAAAGGTAAGT